GCCCAACTTGTTGACTTTTTAATGCTACATGTTTTGAGGTATTTAATCGCCATGCTGCTCTAATATTCTCTGCTTCCCTTCTCTGCAGGGCTGCCACACTGTAAAACTCTGGGAGGGTACAGTGTATTCTACAGTGCAGTAAGCTGTGTGATGCTCTATCATTGCCTCCTCACCTCCTTCCATAAAAGGAAAAGCATTCATCTATCTCCTAAAGTTGGCTGTAATGGTAATTCTAAATCACAGAAGATTTTTAAAAACAGAAATGCTTAAGTCCCTAAATTTATTGAGTCATAAGTACTAAAACTTGACTGCAGAACTAAGGTTAAGAAATACTGGGTGGGGGCCTTCCCAGTGGTGTAGCGGGTGGGCACAGCGCTGTGAAGCTGTCCACAGCCTCCACAGCGCGGTTCAATTCCTGGCCGGCCAGGGAGAGTCCCACATGGCGAGGCAGACCTCTCCTGTCTTGCCCACTGCTCCACTCAGCAGTGCTTTTGGCCCGTCTGCCTGTTCTGCTCCCCGCTCTGTCTCTGGTGAATCCCTCACCCTCCCGTGATTCTGGCCTGTACCCCAGCTCTTGTATAAATGAAAAATAAATCTTTAAAAAAAAAAAAGGGTAATTAAAAACCTCCCCAAAAACAAAAGCCCAGGACCTGATGGATTTACAAATGAATTCTACCAAACATTCAGAGACGAATTAGTGCCTATCCTTCACAAACTCTTCCAAAAAATTGAGAAGGAAGGGACAATACCAAACACGTTCTATGAAGCCAATATTACACTAATACCAAAACCGAATAAGGACAACACAAAAAAGGAAAACTATAGGCCAATCTCCCTAATGAACACTGATGCAAAAATCCTCAATAAAATTTTAGCTATCAGAATCCAACAATGTATCCATAAGATAATTCACCACGACCAAGTTGGATTCATTCCAGGGGCACAAGGATGGTTTAACATGCGAAAATCAATCAACGTTATCCAACACATCAACAAAAAGAAATATAAAAACCATATGATAATATCAATAGATGCTGAGAAAGCTTTCGACAAAGTGCAACACCCATTCATGATAAAAGCCCTTGAAATTCTTGGGATACAAGGAACATACCTCAACATCATAAAGGCCATCTATGACAAGCCAACAGCCAGTATCATTCTCAATGGTGAAAAGCTGAAAGCAATTCCATTAAGATCTGGAACAAGACAAGGATGTCCACTCTCACCACTGCTTTTCAATATAATACTGGAAGTCCTAGCCAGAGCAATAAGACAAGAGAAAGACATCCAAGGAATCCAAATAGGAAAAGAAGAAGTCAAACTATCACTATTTGCAGATGATATGATAATATACATAGAGAACCCCAAAATCTCCACAGAAAAACTAATTCAACTCATCAATCAATTCAGTAAAGTGGCAGGATACAAAATCAACACGCAAAAGTCAGTGGCCTTCCTATACACAAACAATAAATCTGAAGAAGAAGAAATCAAAAAAACCACCCCTTTTATTATCGAAACAAAAAAAATCAAATATTTGGGAATAAATCTAACAAAAGAGGTAAAGGACCTATACAAAGAAAACTATAAAACACTGTTAAAAGAAATAGAAGAAGACACAAAGAAATGGAAAGACATCCCCTGCTCATGGATTGGAAGAATAAACATTATTAAAATGGCCATCCTACCAAAAGCAATATACAGATTCAATGCTATTCCAATCAAAATCTCAATGGCATTCTTCAAAGAAATAGAACAATTATTGATGAAATTCATATGGAATCACCAAAAACCCCGAATAGCCAAAGCTCTCCTGAAAAAAAAGAAGGGAATGGAGGCATCACACTCCCAGACTTCAAACTATACTACAAAGCCATAATCATCAAAACTGCATGGTATTGGAACAAGAACAGACATACAGACCAATGGAATCGAATAGAAAATCCAGAAATAAACCCACAGATTTATGGTCAACTAATCTTTGACAAAGGAGCAAAGACTATGCATTGGAGCAAAGAAAGTTTGTTCAATAAATGGTGCTGGGAAAACTGGGTCGCTACATGCAAAAGAATGAAGCTTGACCACTACCTCACACCATACACAAAAATCAACTCAAAATGGATTAAAGAACTAGACATAAGACCTGAAACCATAAAATACATAGAAGGAAATATAGGCGAAACACTACGGGATTTGCACATCAAAGACATCTTTACAGACACATCACCCAAAGCAGTGATAGTGAAGAGAAAGATAAACAGCTGGGACTACATCAAATTAAAGAGCTTCTGCACAGCAAAAGAGACAATAACAAAAACAAAGAGAAACCCCACCAACTGGGAGAACATTTTTGCACCCAACACTAATGATAAAGGACTGATCACAAAAATCTGCAAAGAGCTGATGAGACTCAGCAACAACAAAGAAAATAATCCAGTCAAAAAATGGGCAGAAGAGCTAAAAAGAAACTTCTCTGAAGAGGAAATGCAAATGGCCAACAGACATATGAAAAAATGTTCAACATCACTTGTAATCAGGGAAATGCAAATCAAAACTACCATGAGATACCATCTCACACCAGTGAGAATGGCACATATTAAAAAAACTAGCAACAACAAATGTTGGCGAGGATGTGGAGAAAAAGGAACTCTTGTGCACTGTTGGTGGGAGTGCAAACTGGTCCAACCACTATGGAGAGCTGTGTGGAGATTTCTGGACCTACTAAACATAGAGCTTCCATATGATCCAGCAATTCCACTCCTAGGTATTTACCCAAAGGACACAGAAACATCAATTCCAAAGAGCACCTGCACTCCTATGTTTATAGCAGCACTGTATACAATAGCTAAGCTTTGGAAACAACCCAAATGCCCAAAAATAGATGACTGGATCAAGAAGATGTGGTACATATATACCATGGAATATTACTCAGCATTCAAAAAAGATAAACACATGCAATTTGCAGCAACATGGATGGCACTGGAAGGGATCATGCTCAGCGAAATAAGCCAAAAAGAAAAAGAAAAATACCGGATGGTCTCACTCATAGCAGGAATCTAGAAAACTTAAATAAGGGACCAGGAAAATGAATATAAGAAAGTGAAAATCAAAATCAACAAAAAAACTATGAACCAGAGACACTTTTTGGGGGGTGGGGGGGCAGGAGGGGAAGGATTGGGGTCAGAATGGGGCGTTTGCAATTGTATGGGGGAATATAAAAATAAAATTTAATATTTAAAAAAAAAAAAAAAAAAAAAAAAGAAAGGCTGGATGTATAACACATATTATAAATGCTCATAAAAAAAAAAAAAAAAAAAAAAGAAGAAATACTGGGTGGGCTGGCAAATTGGATGAGTGTGGGAGAAGTGAGATATTCATCTGGGTAGGCAGGTTAGTGACAGAGTATTAATACTCTGTATTCAATACTAAGGACCTGGAAATGAATCCAACCTGTATAAAGGAGTGATGAAAGGTTTTCAAAGGGTAATGGAATAATCAAATTTATGAGAAAGGTGAACTTGACAACAGTGTGGCAAATGTCCTTGTTAACTCCCAACCAAAACTGGAATTAGGTGAGACTTATACTAGGATGACTGCAGCGCAACTAGAGAGAACGGGAATGAGAAAGGACTCAAAACTCATTTAATAGGATTCTATAAATTGATAAGAGGGAGAAGGTGAAGACCATTTCAAGATATCCAGGCTAAGCAAATAAATACAATTTGATGATGCCATTAAACAAGCAGAATACAAGTGGGAGGACAGAATGGAGCAAGTTTAGGAAACAAATTCAGTTTCCAGTTATGATGAAATGGAAATTCTTTGTGTAGGTGTTTTAGGTGAAACCAGTGTAGCAGGAACCTGGAAATCAATCTCTAGTTCAAAAGAGAAGGTAAAGGGCCTCCCCAGGTAGCACAGTGGTTGAGCGCTGGGCTGCGAAGCTGCCCACAGCCTCTGCAGCGCAGGGTCGATCCCTGGCCGCTGGCGAGGGTCCACATGGTGCGACAGACCTCTCCTGCCACGCCCGCTGCTCCCCTCAGCGGTGTGTTTTGTCGGTCTGCCTGTTCTGTTTCCCGCTCTGGCTATTTCCTGTTTCTGGCTCTGGTGAATTCTCTCACCCTTCCACGCTTCTGACTGTACCCAGTGCTTGTATAAATAAATAAATACATCTTAAAAAAAAATAAAAGAGAAGGTAAAGCTGAAGTTTTATGTTTGGAAGTCAACAGGGTAACTGACCAGGTAAATGCCATTGGAAAGGATGAAAGTGAACAGAGCATTGTCTACAGTACAATAAAAAATACCACAGAATTAAAGATAAACTAGGCTTTCTCCTTAAACTTAATCACATAATTTTAAGTCTAATAAGGCTCAGACAGAGCAACATTAAAAATAAGCAGACGTTAATATGAAGAATATATAATATATAAAATTTATCTGGAATTTGCAGGATAACTTTAAATATGACTATCTCTGACCTTACTTAAAATACTTGACTCTATTAGCACAGAAAGAATAGATCTGAGCTTATTAGAATAGCAGATTAATCAAGTTAGCTCCTTATCTATGATACTAGAACTCCTCTAAATGAAATAACCATGTATTTGGTGATCTAGTTTCTACAATGTAAAGACAATATAAATAAATCATTAAGCCATTCATAAAAATGTAACAATAAATGTAACCACTAAAAACAGAGACTGTCACTTAATCTTTGTGTCAATGTATTTATGTTCTTGTGTGCCAGGTACTTTTGGGTCATGTACTTAACTTTAATAATACAAACTCATTACCGGTTCTAGAAAACAACCCCAAACTTAAGAATTCTAGACCCCGCTACTTCCAGAAAATGAATGAACATATCTAGAGTAAGTGTCTGAAATCCTTGATTTTAAGAGGCATCCAGGTAATTATGGTACAGGGAATTTAAGCATTAAACTTTGAGAAATATTAGCTTATACTAGATATACATTTCAACAATTTGAGAAATGTTTTTAAAAACAGCACTAATTGGTGTAAGTAGAAAATACATTTTCTTTATTCAAATTATGTTTACTTTCAGTATATTCTGAAATGACACACAAAGTTATACCAAGGCTATATTTTAATTCATCACATTCCACTTCAAATTCTTTACCATTTACAAAAAAATAACTTTTTTTAATAAAGCTTACTATTTTGCCTAATAATAGCCAATCAATCTACATCTTTATGTGTTTCTCTTAATAGTTTATGAGGTTATTATATAAAACTAATTGGTATATTACACACCAAGCATAAGTACAGATTCTGTACAATGTAACAGTATACATATATATTCCAAGAGACTAAATGCCTTATTAAGTATAATGGTATAAGAAATCTTTCATGGAAAAAAAATCTGTAACACAAAATGGTGGCTTAAGTATCAGCTGCTTTCCTCTCAAGAATTTCTTTCAGTGGGCATTAACTGTCCATTTAACTTCATTAACAGTTTCACCACGAGGCCAGCCTACAAAGTAAAGTATATGCAACAATAAATATAAAGTACATACAAATGAATAAATCATATGATAATATGTAAATTAAAAGAAACTTTCTTATTAGGTGGCTGTTTGTCAGGGGAGAATTTTTTCAGGGTTTAAGAAGTGACCTGCTGGATGCACTCAGTGGCTCAGATAGGATACTGGTCAAGAGGGAAAGACTGGATAGAAAAGGGGAATACTGACCAGGAGAAAAGGCAATGGCAAGAAAAAGTTTCAATGTTATAAAACTGAAAGAAATTATTCAGATAAATTTCTGGTTTTGTTTGCTTAGAAAAGATTTGCCTTTTTTCCCTTGGTCTTAAATATTATCCATATAGTATTAGAGATTGTCCTTAAAGTAAGGGCCTCCCTGGTGGCACAAGGGGTTGGGACGCAACCTATGACACTGTCCACAGCCACTGCAGCACGAATTCGATCCCCGGCCAGGGAGCCACCCACATGGTGCAGCAGACCTCTCCTGACTCGCCCCCTGCTCCTCTCAGCAGTGTGTTTCAGTCACTCTGCCTTTTCTGTTCCTCACTCTGTCTCTGGTGACTTCTCTCACCCCTCCCCCACCTCTGGCCTGTACCCCAGTTCTTGTATGCATAAATGGATAAATCTTAAAAAAAAAGAAAAGAAAAGAACTTTACTACTAAAATAGTAGTTCATTATTAGAAGTTCCAATTAATTGGTAAGTACTTACCTGTTTTGTGTGTACTATAAAACTCATTTTATTTTCCATACTATGGATCTGAAAACAAGTATCAGCATCTCCCAATTGCCACATAAAACAACCGTATTTAAGACTGATGAGTAAAGCCTGCAACATAATTAGAAATCATTATATTAAAAAAAACTTATATTTTCTTTCTACACTTATCTAAACATAATGATTTTGAGTGTTACAATAAAACCTATTCAAAGCACCCACACTAACTTCACAGTCTACAGCAGTTCTGCAGATGGTAGACTGAAAAAATACACTGGTTACCAGAGAGAACAGGAGGGAGAAGGGGGTAAGGGAAGGAGGGGCTAGGTCATTGGCATGAAATATTGGTGGCAGGTGAGAGTAGCATGTACACATACAGTGGTATGAAAATGTAACCCCAAAATTATACAGGTATGTAAAATGAGTGAACAATGATAAAAGAAAAAAGAAAATGACATAAAAAGCAAGCTGTTATCAGACACTTAAAAAAAAAATCAAGTTCCATGTCCCTTACTGAAATCAGTTCTTACGCAGTCTTATGTCCCTACCCATTCTTTATCTCCATTCACAGGTATATCTAACAAGATGGTAAAATAACTGATGCCCATAAGGATCCTGAGTTATGAAGTAACTAAACTATAATTGGGTTACTTTTAAAAGTTATGTGATTACATAATAAAGTATTATAAAATGAAAATAAAAACTCAGTTTATGATCAATTTCCTAATCTAAAATGACTTTTATTAATGCATAAGTTTAGTTACTACTTGAACTGATTTGAAAGTCTATTCTTGACAATAATGAATGAACAAAATGTTTTTATTTTTGTTAGCTTCCTATTATATGCCTGAAAGCTGTTCATGTCCTTGTTAAATGTGTTATATATGCTAAAAATAATTGATTACCCCACTTATATTCTAGTGACTTAGATTTAAAAAAGCTCAGTACAGTAATAAGCTTTTGATTGAAAAGCTCTGAAATGTTCTGAGTATTCAGTTCCTTCCACACTTCATTGTGGCTTCCAAAAGCTGATTTTTATAACTAATTCTAATTTTGAAAATAAAGCTCTAGTATCAGATATTATATTTTCAGGTTTAAGCTCTGTTTTCATTTAAATCTCAATGATTTGTTGAATAGGTAAGATAATCACCAATTAAAATTTTCTTTAAATTGCAAATGAACATACTTTTGGTTCAGTTACAGGGTACCATTCTCCAAAGGCGTCAAGACTTTTCTATGCATATACAAACAATATGGAAATATAGTATATCTCCACCCATTTTTACACAAATGGTGGCAAATTACATGTGATTCAGCACCTTGCCTTTTATTTTATTTTTTAATTCTTTTAAGATTTATTTATTTATGCATACAAGAACTGGGATACAGGCCAGTGGTACGTGGTGCGGGGCGGGGGGCGGGGGGTGAGAGGATTCACCAGAGATAGAGTAGGGAGCTGAACAGGTGGATCCACTGAAATACACTGCTGATGGGAGCAGCAGGAAAGACAGGAGGGTCTGCTGCGCCATGTGGGTCACCTCCCTGGCTGGGGATCAAACTCGTGATGCAGTAGTTGCGGGCTGCTTCATAGAGCTGATGCTTAACCCCCTGTACCACCAGGGAGGCCCTTCTACATAAAACAATATCATTTTGTATGGTTATAAGGTATTTCAACGTAGAAATGTACTATAACTAATATGTTAATCCCCTATTGGTAATAACTTTTTTTCATAGTCCCCCAGTAGTCTTGTAAATAAGTCACTTCTAGATTTTTCATGTAGGCTGGTACTGTTTTAAATATTATACACTGTGGTCAAAAACAGTTGAAAAACTGGAAACCTACCTTAGTTTCCATGTTGAGGAGATGAAGTCCTTTTATATTCACTCCTACATACACAGGGATGACTTTATGGTTGCTGGGGCTTGCCTTCGTAAATATCTGTCCTGTGAAAAAAGCTGCTCCATATGTAGGAATTTCCCAGCAATTCTGTAAGAACATGCGCTGAAGGTGATGCATTTCTTTACTGACACCCTCACTTGTACTAAGATTCTAAAAACAAATAAGATAAAATAGAAGAGTTGTGAAAGGAAATGTATTGTTGATACCCAACAGGTAAACTTACCAATTTCTAAAATCAAGTCTGCTCCCCAAAAAAGAAAAAATATGTGACAATTATTCCAAAAGCAATTTTTCTTTTGAGATCTTAATATAAAAAACAAAATCAAGGTCTGTAAATACTATTTACCTAGTCTTAGATTTCAAGTACCTCAGATAAAGTGTATTAATTCATATTTTTAATCTCCATCTCTTAGCAGAGTATACAATATATAGAAGGTATATTGTAAAAGATGCTACATGATTAAAAATAAAATATCTTTCTACTTTCAGTTTGGGACATGTGAACTAGAAGATCTATTTTTAATTTTAAGACTAAATTTAATGTACTAAATTTTATGTTTAAAAGACTAAATTTTATGTTTAAAACTTATTAATGAACTAACAAAATTTCAACTAGGTTATAAAATGTCTTTTTATTTCTACTAAATAACTTACCTTGTATTCATGAAGTATTCGGTTTGTCCAATGAGGTGCCTTACTTTTCAATTTGGTAATAGGTACAATGGATTTTAGATTTTCTTCACTGTAAGCAAATATGCCAACATGATTCACAGAAATCAGCTCTCGTAGCTACCGTTTTACAATTATTTATACACAAATGACTTTAAGTTATATGTTTGAGACAAAAAATATTACGTTTTAAAAATACCAGAGAATTCTAAAAATTTCAAGAGAAAGCCACAATCCTGTCATCCTCAATTTAGATAAATGTTTCTTTTTTTGATAACCACAAAACATTTCTGACACTTTGAAACCATAGTAAGCAAACTTTAGATGACCTAAAACCTGAATGAGTGTTTTCTCCCAAGACTGAAGATGAACCCGGTTTTACTGGTAGGATTTTTATTTTTTTTTTTATTTATTTATTTTTTTTTTATAGAGGCATGCTTTATTTATTTGTTTGCTGGTTTGTTTGTTTGTTTTGTTTATACATGCACTAGGCACAGTCAGAAGCGCGGGAGGGTGAGAGAATTCACCAGAGCCAGAGCAGAGAGCAGAGCAGGCAGAAGGACCGAAGCACACTGCTGAGGGGAGCAGCGGGCGGCAGGAGAGGTCTGCACGCCATGTGGGACCCTCCTCCGGTGGCCGGGGAGCAGCCGGGGATCGAACCGGCGCCGCAGAGGTCGCGCGCAGTTTCGCAACCCAGCGCTCAACCGCTGCGCCACCGGGGAGGCCCAACTGGTAGGATTTTTAAATGCACCTGTCTTCTCATATTGTACTATTTATTCAAGTTAGGTTTTAGTGTACCTATTTAAACAAATAGTAGAGAAAGATAAAAGGTAAACCTAGCATTTATAGTTAAATATTTTTTGTATAACTTTAATTTTAGGAGAGAATAAAACTTAAAGAATGATTTACCATAGGTTTTTCTGTTTCTCATTCCATGCTTTGTATTATATAATTCCAAACCAATGTATGAGTTTTCCTCATAACACTATTTCTAAACTTTCTTAATAAAACAAAATCAAGCATAGTACAAGACCATGCATTGCATTAAATACTTACTTTAGGAAGCCTTGTTTGTGTTTTTTACTCTCATAATTTCCATAAACTATTTGCAACAGTAGACTTGCCAATGTTATCAGTTTAGCATCAGGAGCTGTATAAAAGCCCTTCAATAAATTGTATCTGGCTTCATCAAAGAGAATAAGAATAGCTAGGGGGTCTTCAATCTTAAAAGAAAAAGTAAAATTTGGTTACTAAGATTATCATTTCCTGCTACAAATGTACACTTTGTCACTACTATGGAAAACAAAATGTATATAAAGGCGCTATTTTCCTTTTACAGCAGGGTTGGCAAATCAAAACTACATTTGGCTTAGCTATATAAGAGGGACAATATAAGCAGTCAGGCATAAAACATTTACCAAGTTTAGAGATGGTCATTAAAATATTTATGTGTTGAAATTTGCTTAACCTTGTCTGTTTAATATTTTTTGGAACAAAGAATCAGTAAATACATTGTATAGTTTTTCTTCACTGAAGTTATGAGACTTTGCAACTTTCATTCCCTTCAATTTTCACAGACCTCCCTTCATTTCTTGTTTGTCTATTTATCCTTCATATGGCATTACCTTACCTCTCTCTAAAATTTACGGCAATTCAAATCCAAACATACCTTTTGGAACAGATCCTTTTATCAAATATAAATTCTATTCTAATTTTTTAGTATCCATATAATTCTCCAAATGGGTCTAGAATAGCTACTGACTGTTGAGAATAACTTTTTAATCTCCCCTTTGCAAATGTAAACTTCTTCTCCCAGAATACTTTTTCTGTTTACCCCATACACCAATGTATCTTTAAAGTTCCTTTGAAATATACACACTGATTAGTTCACTATTAAATTTGTCTTTGATAATGTACTTTCTAGCTATTCTGAAATATTTTTCTGTATAATCTAACTCCCATTTAGTTGCTAATTCTCTTTAGAATACAGTCTCTATTTCTTCTGTGTTCTGAGACAACTGATATAGAAGTAAAAAACCAACCATGGGTTTTCTAAGTAGACTGATTCAAACTCTACAACTTGCCACACGGATGTGAGGACAAAACAGAAAAACAGAAGTAAAATTCACACATACAAGAACACAATTTCTGCCACTAGTGCTTATAATAGGAACTAAATAATTTCAGTGTATATAAATGACTACAAATAAGATTTCAAAGCAAACCTTTTTTTCAACTTCCAAAGGAAGTCTCACATCTCTTCGTAGGAAAAGCTGTGGTGTTTCCCTTTGGGGATCTAAATTAGTCAATTCAGCAAGTATTTCTGGCCAGTCCCGAACATGTTGCAAGGGTTTATGATAAGGCTTCAGTTGAAGGCCTGAAAAACATTTTTCCTTTTATAAATAATAATGTAAAATAAATCATTTATATCAATGCACAGAGACATAATTTTAAACTATCTTTACTTTAGTACTGAATACATACAAAGTTCTAGACTTAAATTAATATTGACTTTAATCAATATTACTACCCATTTTGAAGTTAACTGCTTTTGTTTTTAAAAATAAGAATTATGAGAATAATTTTTAAAATAAAATTTGTCAAACGTATATAAGGTCCTTTATATAATTATAGCCTATTTGATTACTATATAATTGGCAGAATTTGGCATTTAAAAAAATACAATTATACCATTACATAACCAATCACAATAACCTCTATTAATTCCTTTATATATCTACAACACTTTGAGAGAAATTTATAGTGATAATAGGGTGATTTTAACTAAAATGACTGGATAGGAAACAAATATAAAGAAAAAACACTTAAATTATTTTGAGGTGAAAATAATTAGTAAATTTAACAGCATTCAAATCAAATTTCATTGCCAGAGAAGTCTTGGCTTTTACCACTAAAAATGCTTTTAAGGAAGTAGGCGAGGAGAGAGCCCCAGTCTTACCCGTTTCAGCATCTGAACACTTAGTTTACATAAAAGAGAACAGTGTATCATTTCAAAATTTAAAAATCAATAATGAACCACCATACTGGAGTTTACCAACTCACTTTCAAAAAGGAATAAGGTTTACACAATTGCTTACTGAGGTTTTCTGAACAGATCCAAATAGTGAAATATTGCTGTGTTTCTTGAGAGAGACGCATTCCTTCCATTATCTGCTGTACTGTGGTGTTATTTCCATGCTTCAGTTCAACGGAACGGTATGATCCATCCATTCTGTATATTCTAACTTTTTCATACTGTGACAAAGAATGGTAACAAATTTTGCAACTTGGTAAAAATTATATATTTCAATCCAAAAAATGCTTTTATTTCAACTTCATGTACTTTATTATAGGTTTCTAATGTGAGGTCTAAGAAAATTGCTCCAAGTGAGACTCTAGTAATATTTTAAAGAATTTTACTTTCATTATACACATTCTCTCTTTTTTAAAAGATTTCTTTTATTTATTTATGCATACAAGAACTGGGGTACAGGCCAGAGGTGCGGGGAGTGGAGGTTGAGGATTCACCAGAGACAGAGTGGGGACAGAATAGGCTAAGGGGAGCAGTGGTCGAGACTGGAGAGGTCTGCTGTGCCATGTGGGTTAGCTCCTTTGCCAGGGATTGAACTCATACTACAGTGGCTGATGATAGCTTGATAGCACTGAGACTTTAACCCCTGTACCACCAGGGAAGCCCCATTATTTATATGTATATATATTTTTTAAACATTTATTTATGCACACAGAACTGGGGTACAGGCCAGAGGTGTAGTGGTGTAAGAAGATTCACTAGAGACAAGGGGAGAGCAGAACCGGCTGACTGAATGAAGTATACTGCTGAGGGGAGCAATAGGCGAGTCAGGAGAGGTCTGCTGCACCATGTGGGTTGCTTCCTGGCCGAGGATCAAACTTGTGCTGCAGAAGCTGCAGACAGCTTCATAGGTTGTGTCTCAACCCCTTGCATCACCAGGGAGGCCCTATTTATATTTTCTAACAAGTGTTCCTGTGGATGTTTTGTGGTCAAAAAAGTTTGAGAAACTAAGGCAAATGGCTTTTATAAAATATTCAATATCAACTTTGAGAGGATGTTTAAAACTATTAATTATAATGTAAATATCATATGAGGAATATAGACTTGGTTACTAAATCTAGTTAAGTACCCTATGATTCTGATAGGGAACTATTCATAATGTAAAATAATGCAATGTGCCAGCAATAATTTGTCCTAAGAAGAATCTGTAATGGAAAACTTTTGTCAGTAAAATTATAGAAAAAAGGACGGTGAACCACTTTCTTTTTTCTAGTTTTAGAAAACCCCAGAGAGAAACAATATTCTCAATACATTTTTGTTGTTATGGGAAGTAACTGATGTTCCCAAACAACTAAGCCAAGTTCATTTTGGATAAAAGTAACTAATTCATTATATTCAGAATATAAAAATTAAAGCCAAAATAAAAGTGTTTTAACTATTGAATTAGAAAATAAATCAGGCCTCCCCAGTGATGCAGTTGGTTGAACGCAGTGCTGTGAAGCAATCCACAGCCTCTACAGCGTGGGTTCAATTCCCAGCTGGCCAGGGAGATTCCCACATGGTGTGGCAGACCTCGCCCGTTGCTCCCCTCAGCAGTGTATTTCGGTCATCTGCCAGTTCTGCTCCCTGCTCTGTCTCTGGTGAATCCTCTCACCCTCTGGCGCCTTTGGCCTGTACCCCAGCTCTTGTATAAAAATAAATAAATCTTAAAAAAAAAAAAAATCAATCGTTCATCCTTTATCTGTTATTATCTGGTTTGGAACTTTTTAAACAAATTTTAAACTAATGATACTTTTATCATAAGTATAACTTTAAGGCGTAACTGAGTTTCTTCTATTAATTTTTCTCTTTTAATGTCATTATTATTTCAGATATAATTAGGTGGAAAGGCCATATATAAATGGGGGAAGAGCTAGGAAATCTATTTCAATCCTTTTACTTTCTTAAGGAAAAAAATACATCTATAGTAGATAAGTAACTTGGTGAATGAAATCAATAAATGATGTATAATGTTACTATTTACAAGTATAAAATACTGCTCAGAAGTACTTAGACATGATTCAGTGAATAGATCATAATTTGTAATTAGTATATCATGTATAGTGATTACGCTAGAGATTAGATTAATTTTAAGTATCTGAAGATTTATTATACAAGTTTTACTTTGTTATGCAAAAATGTATGTCTGGATATCAGGATGAAAAGAAAATTTAATACCTACAAAGCCTAACCATGAGGGTTTTTATAAAAACAACAGAGAAACTATTCATTCATCCTTCCATTTTTGCCACAGAGCTTCAAATTACTTACTAGTTAAAATAGAGGCATACTCTTTACTTTATTATGCTTCACAGATATTGTGATTTTTTTACAATTTGAAGATTTGTGGTAACCCTGTATCAGGTGAGCTCAGGGGTGCCATTTTTCCAATGTCATGTGCTCACTTAGTATATGTGTATGCTCATTTTGTTAATGTATGTGTGTATATATATTATTATGTAATGTTACTACACACTTAATAGACTACTGCATAACTTTTATATGTACTGGGAAACCAAAAACTTTGCTGACTTGCTTTATTGTGATATTCATTTTATTACAGTTGTCTAGAACCAAACCATCAATGGCCCTGAAGTGTGCCTGTACTAAACTTGGCTCTACTTATGAAGTAATTCTTACTGGTTTGTTAATGGCTTCCTTCAACAATTTTGCAGCTTCTTCCCAGTTATTTTGCTTATTTTCTTCACAAATATTTAAAGGGGACCTTCCTTGTTGGTCCGTTATATGCTAGAAATGTGGGAGAAAAGAAAAGGACAAAGAAAAAAGCATTACATATATATGACATTTTAGGGGAAAAAGTCATTTAGTCAATCAGAGTTTCATAAAACAATACTCTTATTAAGTATTAAATATCAATACAATTATATATACTGTACTTAAACATAAATTGCCAAAGATGACTCAAAGTACTAATCAATGTGATTGTTTTTTACAAAAAAAAAAAATACATATTTTTTTGAAAGTAACATATTATTTTTCATTTTATTTTTGCGTAGAACTGGGGTATAGGCCAGAGGTATAGAGGGTGAGAGGATTCACCTGAGACAAGAGTGGGGAGCACAACAGACAGATTTACTGCAATACAGTGCTAAGGGAGGCAGCCGGTGAAACAAGAAAGGTCTGCTGTGCCATATGTGGGTTAGCTCCCTGGCTGAGGATAGGATCAAAATCAGGCCGCAGTGGTGTTAATGCTGAGAATTAAGCCCTAGGCCACAAGGGAGACCCTAAGGATACTAATTGTAGAGGCAAAAAACATTCTGTTAAAGCCATTATTATTTTTCTTCTTATAAAAATTTATTAATACAAATTCTAGAAAATGGGTAGAAGACATTGTTTGATCTTAAAGATATTTTTATAGGAATACTATATAAAATAAAAAGAGGTTAAATTTTGCGTACATTCTGGAGAGTGATAGTGGTGACAGTTTTATAACAACTGAAGTATAATGCCATTGAACTGTATATGTAAAAAGGGTAAATTTTATGTGAGACACATTTAACCACAAAAGAAAGAGCTATACAAAAGAAAAGCCTATACATAAATATTACTCATTCTATGAAGTAGGTAAAATGTGTTTTTATTTTTCAGGTGACCTCCAAAGTATATAACTGAACATCATAGTGTCATTACTTGACATTCATTGCTTAAGCATTAAAAAGAAAACCAAAACCTGAAGAATAACTTACTCTATCAACCTCTGGATGGTTTAGGAGAATCTGTACTATTTCAGCATGTCCTCCTCCAGCAGCAAAATGAAGTGGGGAACTAAGCTGTCCATTTAAGAGGTTTGGATTACACTTTCCTTTATCTAACAATATGCGAGTGGCCTCAACTTTACCATACCTAAAAAAAAAAAAAAAAAAACCTAAAAAATCAACTGAAATGTTTTAAAAATTCAAATTTTAGATAACCCAAAGAAATCTTAAGATTTTTCTAGGGCAGAGAGTGAGGAATTAAGATATTTACATAAATGTTTTGTTGCTTACAATATCTTATGAATTATTCTGGTTCAATTCAAAATATTCTATTTCTTTTTTTTTTAAGATTTATTTTTTATTTATTTATGCATACAAGAGCTGGCAGAGCTGGGCCAGAGATGCAGGCCAGAGATGCAGGGGGTGAGAGGATTCACTAGAGACAGAGTGGGGAGCAGAACAGGCAGATCCACTGAAATACCTTGCTGAGGGGAGCAGCGGGAGAGACAGGACAAATCTGCTGCCCCATGTGGGTCACCTCCCAGTTGCCTGGGATCAACTCGTGCTGCACTGGCTGTGAACAGCTTTTATAACACCATTTATAACTAAGATTTCATTCTTTCTAAAAAGAAAAGGAAAAATAAGTAATTTCCTTACCAGCATGCATAATGAATGGGAGCCCAGTGGTCACTGTCTAATTGATTGACTGAAAATCTTTCATTGAGGAGACGGTTTAGTAATTCTGAATCTCCTTCACAAGCACTTCGATGGAGAGGAAAATCATCTACCCACTGTCGTTCCCTAATGATTAAAAACAAACAAAAACCAGCAATGTTAAAATTCAAAGTGTTTCAAAACAAACATATCTTTGAAAACTATATAACACTGAGCAGCAGCAAATTAAATCATCTATGCAATGACTATATTGCATACTAATGACATATATCATTTAAAATAATATTTTAACACTAGAATGTAAATTTTAAAAAAGAAATGTGAAGTAAAACCAAAACAATACTTGTCTTCTGTGACACTGCTCATGCTTCTCTGCCATTTTTCCTGTTTGGGAATTTGGATTTTTGAGTAGTCTGGAGCTCCTAGACCAAAGTATGGATTTATTACCACTTTATCTACCTAGAAAGGGAAAACAAAGCAAAACCCCTTAACAGCTTTCTTTAGATAGTTGAATTTAATAAAGCTCAATGTGGATGTCACCTTAATTTTTAAAATTAATAAAAAAACATTTCTCTGTGGAAAAAAATTACATTTGCTATGAAATATCATTTAAAATCAGAGCCCAAATTCATTCAGCCCTTACCCGGTTTGTATACTGAAGATCTGACCCAAACAAAGGGTTGTAAATACAGGTATCTGCTTTCTCTAGGGCTAACATTTTACTTTTTATTTCTAGTGCACTATAGCCCATATGTAGTGAGTTTTCTGTCTGGCTTGATTCAGTAGCATATGCAGGGTTTATGATATTAGTTTTTATCCGCTCAAGAGGAGAAGGTCGGAATAAAGCTGGAATAAAGTGAGATTGTGCATGACGTTCATCTAACCACCTGGCAAAAAAAAATAGTAGAAGACGTATATAGACTACTATTCAACTTTGATATGTAATACTTTCTAATATTACCTTCAGATTTTATAATTATAATTAGTGTTGTTTAAGTACTTCATGTACTACATACAAACATTGTTAATGGACAGCAAACTATTTTTTAAAAATGCATATACCATTACAATAAAAACCCCTTTCAAAAAACATGAAGTGGGCCTCTCCGGTGGCGCAAGGGGTTAAGACGCAACCTATGAAGCTATCTGCAGCCATTTCAGCAAGAGTTCAGTCCCTGGCTAGGGAACTACCCATATGGCGCAGCAGACCTTTCGCTGCTGCTCCCTTCAGCAGTGTGTTTCAGTCAATCTGCTTGTTCTGTTTCCCACTCTGTCTCTGGTGAATCCTCTCATCCCCCACACCTCTGGCCTGTACCCCAGTTCTTGTATGCAATAATAAACGAATCCTTAAAAAACAAAAACAAAACCATGAAGTGCTTTTTAAAATATAAGATACTGGGCCTCCCTGGTGGCGCAGCGGTTGAGCGCTGGGTTGCGAAGCTGCCTGCAGCCTCTGCAGCACCGGTTCGATCCCCGGCTGCCAGGCGAAGGTCCCACATGGTACATATTCCTCTCCTGCCGCCCGCTGCTCCCCTCAGAAGTGTACTTCAGTCTGCCTGCTCTGCTCCCTGCTCTGGCTCTGGTGAATTCTCTCACCCTCCCACGCTTCTGACTGTACCCAGTGCTTGTATAAATAAATAAATAAATCTTTAAAAAAAATAAAATATGAGACACTGATATGTAGTTGACATTTGCCCTGTTGTTACAGAAAGATAAAGGCATGATAGTGTAAACAACTTGTTCACTATAGGAATAATACAACCCTAAATCTAAGCCAGGGATATTTGATGTTATTTTTGAACAATCAAATTAATATATTGTAAGCAAACCAGGACAATCTTTGGGATTTTTCATTTTTATATTCTACTTAAAAAGCTTAATATTTGTTAATACATGTATTTTTAATATTTTCTTTCAAATCTATCTGTATCTAACTAAGCAAATTTCTATTATGAACATGTATTTGATCTGTTAAAAAACATTTTTAATGGCATTTCTTACTTATCCAAGGCTATTAACATCCTTGCTGTAAGAGTAGCAAAGTGAGTACTGGATTCGCTACAGACTCTCATAATGTCTTGTAAGCAGTAAAAAATTGGGCATCCAGGAGTATATGTATATTTAGTATTATCTGAAAAAGAAGGATAAAGAATTATGCCATCACATAAAGTTGACAACAGCATGGTTTTCAGTGAAAAGTAGTCAATAAGCTAAAAAAAATGATAAGCTTAACAAACTGTTCTAGATTTGAAATTAGAAGGTCTAGATTCAATTAATGCCCAGTTCTGTGACAATGTCCACTAGGGTGAATGCAGCATTTAGGATTCTCAAAAATTGCAGGAATTGTTTCCCTTTTTCTTCCTCAACAATGTTATAAAGCTTGCATGAAAAAGATTTCCAACACCATTAAAATATTGAACTTTCTAACTTACCACTGGGAAAAAATATTTATCTGGAATGCTAGAAATGGCTAAGTAAATATGTGTAAGTACCATGTAGCAGCAGACTGATAGGATGTCCACAATGGGTCATTAATATATCATCAGTATTATCACTACCAAATATGAGGCCAGTGCTCTAATAGAGTCCAAAGTGATTTTCACATCTAATATCTCAAAGAATTCTTTTAACACTAGGAACCAAATAGGAGCAGATAACCTATCATAAAAACATAGCTAAGGTTTAATTAAAGAAGTGATTTGCCCAACAGCACAATTTGACTAGGCTGCAAGATCTACACTGAAACTCTATTTTCTCTATTATTCTGGATGTCAAAGACTCAAATTCAATTTTCACATTTGTCCTAACTTCTTTTAATATTATCAATATTATTGGGCAGAGTATTTTAGAACCAAAATTGACATCTTCTTATCCCAACCATAAGAATAGGTCCTGAGCATATCTGTAAATTTTTCTAAAAACTGAAATGTCTATTTCTATTCTAGCTATAGTATATCCTTTGAAAAATCTCATTATAACCTGAAAGCTTTTAACCTCGATTATGGCCTCCCTTCTAATTTCTTTATTCTTCTTTTAAAATAAGAAAAAAGAAATTACTATTCAGCCCTGACGGCTATTACTTTGATTGACAAATTTCTTCAACTTCTATTAATTTTACAATAGTATCATAGTAGTAACAAGGGATCTGAATGCCTAAATTCAACAGACTTTTTACTTAGCATGTAAAGTACATTAAGATCCATAAGGTAAAATTTAGACTTTACCTTTGACAACTGATGGAACAATAAATAATGCTGCTTCTCTGCCCATCTTCTCTCCATCCAGAGGAAATTTCTTCATTAGTACAACTCGTTTTCCTAATTATTTTTTTTTAAAGTCAGTACAAATAAAAACAATGAGCTTTTAAATCTTATAAGTTAACTTGAGAATTAGGAATTAACAAAGAGAAACAATTTTATTATACACACTCAAAAACTATCAGTTCTAATAATAATATAAATAATTCTGGGGAAAATCAATCCGATTCATTAGAAGTTTCCTATGCATGGCAAGGAAAGCTGTGTTGCTCAGAACATCTGAACAGCAAGGGACCATTAGGGGTCAAGAGGTCTATACTTCCTCACTTAGCTGGAACACATATGGTAAGAACTTTACCACAGCCTAAGCTGGTTAAGGTGGGTTTCTAACTACTAAAGTTTAGTAGGTCTTCATTTAACATTCAACCCTCACCCTCAATTTCATTACAATTTAATTGGGCTACAAAATATAGCTCTGAAATGTAATCGCCATTCTTAATCCTTTTCCTGATTTGGCAGCAAGGGGACTATAAATAATCTATAAATCTTGCACCTCTCATCTTTTAGATAACTTTGCCATGATTTTTATCAAGCCTCCCAAAATAGAACCTTGTTCCTGATGCAGGTAGGAATGCCAGGCTGGATGCCTTCTGTGAATATGTAGATAACACAGAGTTCAAGTGGCTTTATTCATAAAATACTAGACTCAATACTTGTGATTATTGTGGTTCATTATTATTATAGCACCCAAAGAATTATTTTTAAAAAATGGACACTTACACAAAATATAAGTGTTAGATACAGAATAACATTCTAATAAATTTCAGAGGCAATTATTTTTCTTGTCTGGCTTAAGGTCTTGTCCTCTTACTCTTTCCTTCCTTGCTGTCGCCTCAGATCTAATTATAATAGATTGTTTAATTGGCTTCTTTGTAAATTACAGATATAACTATGAGATCTATTGTGGGAGGAGGAGGGGGAATAAAAGCCATCACTGCAAGTAGGGAAATAAGGGCCCTAACTCTTCCATCAATGGGAATATGATATTGGCAGGTGACAACCTGTGTTTGCATTTCTATTTTACAGATGTGAAAATGATCATATACCAACTCACAGGACCAATTTAAGAATATCATGAATAAGTATGCATGGTAGTGCTTTGGAAACTATACATAGCACAGCACAAAAGGGTAAGGCATAACTACTGCTATTATAAAGTCATTTGTGATTTTCATGTGATGTTTTTATAAGGAATCATTAATCTATAAAAATATTTCATACATTTAGAAAAACTCAACTGAATAGGATAATCAGAAAATGGTATGGTTCATCAGTTTATAACAAAAACAACTTCTCTTTTAATTTCACTTACTAAAATTTGCCTGAAAATATATTAGAACATTTTGCTAAGTATACAAGACATAATTGTACTAGACATATTTCAAGGTGACTTTCCACTCATAACTTCTCATAAGAGAAACTACCAGTCCTTTGGAACAAAGAAAATTTTTGTTAACATCAAGATTGCGTCTGTCCACTTCTGGGTGAATGAATCAAGTTGTAGAGGTTGGCTAATTCATAGCAAATTATAACTTGTCTATTCGTTCAACTATGTGGTTTAGGCTAATCAATTTCTGTTCTAGGAATTGGATCTCAGAATAGGTCCTGATTAACTAATTGTAAAACAATTTAGAACAAGTCTGGATGAAAACTTATCAGAAAAATACAAGACTGAGGTAGAAAAGACTGACAAATTCCAAAAGACCAACACAGTCCAAAAAGAGACTTTCACATGCCTTTTTATTTTTAGCTAAAGTTGGTTCCTAGATTATTTTATTTAAAAAGTGAACTGATAATTACGGAAAGGAGATTCTCTTTATGAGGCTCAGAATGTGTATCAAAACTGTAAATTTATGCAGAACTTCTTATCATTTTGAGATACAGGCCATATGGGGGAGATTACCTATTGGAAGGTAAAATATGTATTTCAAAGAGTTACGAAACAAAAGCTAATAGTTCAGCTATTTCTAGAGAGTAAATATCCAAAAATAACTATTAAACCTAATCACAGAACTCAGGATTATGTATGCAACAAAAACAGTCTCTTTAGTGAAACAAATGAAATAGGTAACCAGTCTCTATGAACAAACAGAAAGAAACACTGAGCAAGCTTTACAAAACCAAAAAGTAGGCAAAGAGAGGTGTGTCTTATCGAACAACTGTTTTCAACCGCTGTTTGACTGAAAATAGCTTTACCTTCTAATTATAATACTTGACTTTTAGATACAGTTTATAATTTCTATAACTTCTAATTGCTATCTGCTTCCTGTTAGACCATATTGAGAAAATCAGTCATTAATTTTTCATTAGTTTTATAAGCTATATACATTACCTAATATTTTAAATGGGGTCTCAACCTTTTATGGTTAATACTTCTATAATTCAGTTTGGCTCTCTGAAAAAGGTCTTCTTCCTGTGACCAAATGGGAAGAAAACCTGTTACCTGGTAAATTATAGGACTCTCTCTAATCCATTAATCTTAACTTAGTTATTGAGAGAGATTTATAGTTTTCCTCTGTCTTAGAGTAGAGAAATAAAATAGTAGTTCAAAGATACTTATCCGGGGAATTATACTTCTAGCAAAAGTAATTTGTACTTTCTCTTAGATTTCACATTATTGGTTAGCTTTTTTCTATTGACTAAATCATTAACACTGAAACTTAAATATTTTTCTACTTAAAAAACTTTGGAACCTTTTTCAAGTTTTTTAAATAGAAAGGAACATTAAAAAGAAATTGATTTTAACTTATTTTTAAAAAAAATCTTCCACAAGCATTTAGAGCAAATTGTTTTAAGAAAAAGACAAAGAAGTTTCCTACCTCTGATACCTTGGTTTGTAGGAGAAATTGGTTTGGTTGTTTCTACTACATAGTCCAATATGCCTTGTGTTATTTCACTGTTGCTCTGAAGTTTAGTTTCCAATAAAACTTTCTTTCTCTTTTTTTTCTGTCCTTCAATGGGAACTTCATGTAGCAAAATCTTAGATGAGAACAATATTAAGAGAAAATGTAAAGTTTACTTGTTCCAGAATACAACAAACCATCAGTCTTTCTTTATCCTAGTTACATATTAGAATAACCTTTCAGCTTTGAACATAGTATCAAAGCCCAGCATCTTCTTATACCTATTAAATCAGAATGCCTGGAGTTTAGGGTCCTGGTCCTAAAAGTTTTAAAAATTCTCCAGGTGCTTTTATAGTACAGCCAGGACTGAGGATCAGTCAGCTAGAATACTGCCAAAAACCCAGCTTCCTAGAACCCCTGTAGTATCCTTTATTACAGGTTTTAGATAACCAACCTTAAAAAAGCAATTTAAACAAAAAGCTAGAGAAATTAGTTGGAATTAGGTTAGATTAGAAATATTTTATGACACTTGAAATCTGTTGCTTAGAAAAGATAACAATTCTGCTTAGGGTTTTTTCCCTGGGGGGGAGGGTGTGTGTGCTCATTCATGTTTAGTAATCTATGTATATAATAGAATTCAAGACTACAAAGAAGTAACTTAATTGGCTAAAAGTCAATTGAGAGATATTAAAATGAACTATTAAAAATAGCTTTTTGGAAAATAAAGAATAATGTTTAGATTGGTATTTTGAATAAGATGACTTTAATAATGATAGTTTTGAGGGTCATTCCATAAATTATACTAAAAACTAAATTTATAAATTTATTATAAGTAAAACTTTAAGAGTACATTTTAATATACTTACATGTATCAAAGAATAAAAAATGATCAAAAGGCATATAGCAGAAAAAAAGACCTTGATGGGCAAAGATCTAGAATTGTCTGTTTTAGCCTAACATGTAGGTTGTCAACAAGAATTTACAGGCCATGGTAAAACTTTATATGTAAATGAAAATGATAATGGACAAAGACAATCAGTGGTAGCAAACCAAACGTTATATTGTTCTCACTTCATATGATTTAGCTCTGTATTCCCGAGAATTGAGACTGGCAGTATTCTTTGGGCGAATAACAGCAACATACGCGTCTTCTGTGTTTTCTGGATTTCCCATTGCTTTATGGAAAAACAAAACAAAACAAATAAAATCCCTTGAAAGATTAAAGAACACACAGTCACTCTGAAAAACAATTAAGAAAATAAAAGTTTGATTTCCCTATTTCAGTGTACATATGCTCCCTAAAAGGCAGGCCACAGATGACTGTCTTTTCATTGTACTATATAAAACCTTAGCTTTTAACTTATGATTTTATTGTAGTCTATTTTTCTTTTTCTGTCAAAACTATTAAATATAGAGATACATGCTTTGGTCTTACATGCATATGAATCTGCCTTTTGGACATTGAAAAAAAGTGTTATGATTACAAAATGTCTTGTTAATTGTAAATAATGGCTTGAAATAGTGATTCAGAAAAATACAGGTTTATTTTTCATAAATCAAACAAGGGTACGTGAGTGAATGTTACCACGTTAATAGTTCAGGCAGCTCCAGAGTCTTTAGAAAGGAGAATTTTGATATTATACACTAGATGAGTTAAAGGACAGTTTATAATTTTCTTTGACGGTGACTATCAATCAAAAACATTTGGTCATTTGAGAAAAGCTTTCTTTTTCTTTTTTTTTTAAATATTTATTTATTTATTTATACAAGCACTGGGTACAGTCAGAAGCATGGGAGGGTGAGAGAATTCACTAGAGTGGGGAACAGAACAGGCAGACTAACGAAATACACTGCTGAGGGGAGCAGCGGGTACAGCAGGAGAGGTCTGTTACACCATGTGGGACCCTCGCCGGCGGCCGGGGATCGAACCTGTGCTGCAGAGGCTGTGGGCAGCTTCGCAGCCCAGCGCTCAACTGTTGCGCCACCAGGGGAGGCCCGAGAAAAGCTTTCTGATGGATGACGATGGCAAGAATATTTTTCATTCCATTATCAATTTCCTTGACAATCCAAATATATGCCATATATAGTGTGTATATATACACACACACATACTGTATACATGTATATATTTTTATGATTAATTTAAAATCGCTATTGGGCAAATTCCAATGAATAACTGAATTTCAGGTACTCTCTTGTTTTGTTTTGTTTTTTTAAGATTTATTTATTTAAACAACCACTGGGTACAGTCAGAAGCGCGGGAGGGTGAGAGAATTCACCAGAGTCAGAGCGGGGAGCAGAACAGGCAGAAGGACCGAAGAACACTGCTGAGGGGAGCAGTGGATGAGACAGGAGAGGTCTGCGAGCCATGCAGGACCCTCCCAGGTGGCTGGTGATCAAACCAGCGCTGCAGAGGCTGCGGGCAGCTTCACAGCCCAGCGCTCAACTGCTGGACCACCAGGGAGGCCCTCTCTTGGTTGTTGTTTTTTTTTTTTTTAATAGAGGCATGTTTTTCTTTATTTATTTGTTTGCTTGTTTGTTTGTTTTGTTTATACATGCACTGGGTACAGTCAGAAGCGCGGGAGGGTGAGAGAACTCACCAGAGCCAGAGCGGGGAGCAGAGCAGGCAGAAGGACCGAAGTACACTGCTGAGGGGAGCAGCGGGCGGCAGGAGAGGTCTGCGCACCATGTGGGACCCTCCACTGGTGGCCGGGGAGCAGCCGGGGATTGAACCGGCGCTGCAGAGGCCGCGGGCAGCTTCGCAACCCAGCGCTCAACCACTGCGCCACCGGGGAGGCCCTCTCTTGGTTGTTTAATAGCTCTATCTCCTCGTTCAGTAATGTTATTTTTTTGTCAACAGACTGAAATGTATCTCTTTGTACTGAATATACTTATCTTTAGAAAAAAGAAAACTTCCCCTCATTTACATCCCAGCAAATTTTTAAATGAATATAAAACAAGAAGTTTCTTTCCTGGTCATGTTGAAGTAAACCTTATTCAGTTTTTTAGTAGGCATTACTTAATTCCAGTAGGCATTAAAATAATCTGAATCTGTTCATACCATATTGCTCCATCTCTCATAGAGAGGGAAAAACGACATCATTTTTAAGAAAGACCTTTGAATATCATTTGAGAGGAGGGCAGAGGAATTTATTCTATTTTTTTAATTGCATTTAATAAGGTCCTTTTGGAACCTTTAATTCACTCCCCTATATAATAGAAAATGTCTTATAATGGAAAATTAAAATTAAATTTTTTTTTAAATCCAGTAACTTTGGGCATTTTAAGTCAATGTTACCCTAAGATGAAAATAACCATTAAGATGAAAACAACCATTATTGTACAAAAACTATATTTTAAATTATTTAAGTAATTGAATATTTCCTTTTAAATTATAAACTTTTCACTGGTTTAAATCCAGGGAAATTACAGATACTTTACCAGAGAAACTACAGTAAAATATGAGGATGGAGACATTTTATTTTGTGAAAAGCTCTGCAGACATTCCGGTCATTCATTTTCAATTCATGTATCTCAAGACCTAAAACTCACCTCATCCAACAAAGCTTCTATACTATGAGAAAAGGATGAGGCCTTTTACCCTTAGAATTTCTATTTAGCAATTACTTTTCACTTCAGATTAATAATGGCTTCATGATAAATTATGAAACATGTATGGATGTCCCCTCAAAGACTGCAAACCCACAAAACAAAGGCATTGTATTGTGAAAACAACGTATAATAAATATATATGGGGCACTAACAGAAATCTTTTTTTCTATCAGCACCTAACAGAGAAATCAAGTAATTTTTGGTTTTCTAAACACAAATCAACTTAAAAGCAAATCAATTCCTGTGCTGGACAACTCCTGTTAAGAAGACATCTACTAGCAAAATCTTTTATTTGTTAATATTCATCACTTCTCTAGAGTATTTAATATTGCACAGTGCATTCAACTTTTAAAAGCTAAAAGTGATATAATAAGAAAACGATATAACCATGAGGATTATTTTGTTTTTACACCACTTAATATTAAATATCTCAAAAGATTCTAAAAAATTATTTTCAAGAAATATTTATACTTGATGACTTGAAATATACATACCAAAAATGATATTTCTTCCTTCATCCATAAGCAATGTTTCTCAACTTTTAAAAACACATAACAACTTTAAATAACCAAAAGAGCTCACAAAGTTGAAAATGGATAAAATGTGTTTTCTTTTGTTCACTAAGGGCCAAAATTATTTCACCAAGTTATCCTAAGGTTTTTATTGCTTTCATTGTATAAATATAACATTTAATATACTTTTAAAAAATAATGTGAACAATGGCTAGCACCCATAATACTTATTATGTGCTCCAGACACTGTGCTAAGTGCTTTAAAAATATTTTTAATCTGTGCCTCCCCCAAATCTGATGAAGTCGGTATTATTATTATCGTTATCCCCATTTTATAGGACAAAAAAAAGAAAGTGGCTAAATTACTTGCTCTTTCCTCATTTTCCTGGAACAATTCACTGTTTTAAAGCATATAACATTAGAGAGATAGTAACTAAATATCAGTAAGAATTCTCCTACAGGGAATTTACTGGTCATAAAAATGCCATCCTTTTGCTACTCAGTTGGTTTATAGTAATAAAAAGAGAGGAAGTAATAATAAAGCAAAATAGAAAATAACCATTGATGCTATGTCTAACTGAGCTTTCTTTCTCCTTGTTCCTTCAACCAATCTATTAATCATTTAACAATATCAACAGTAATTTTCAAGTCTTCTGTTCAGTGACATCCTATTTTGTAATTCAAAATATTCCACAATCTCCAAATCACTTTTGAAGGTAGGCATACTAAATTTGGGTGCCAGACAAACAAATAAGTAATACTGGAACTGGGAACCAAATGAATTCGTAAAGACGAAACCATATTTTATACATTTAGTGAGGTTATCTGGGGGAGAGCATGATTTCATTAGCGGTATATCTAAATAAGCTGTAGAAGAGCTGCCAACGTAGTTCTACAATCTAATTCTAAGAGGGAAACAACTATTAACATAGGGTAAGGGAAAACGATCATGGAATAAGTCACTTGGTTTGATATTGTTATGAAAACACTTTCTAGTTTTTGCCACTTGCCCTAAATGAGATGAGCACATTAAATCAGTTAAAAGACTGAAAAAGCAGAGAGAAGAATCTGCAAACAAGCTGTGAAGACACATACGCTCTTCAAGAGTGAGAAAGGAGTGGAGTGAGAACCCGAGTCAGTTCAGCAACGTCAACGATTTCTGGTAAAGCTAAAAGCCACACGGACCAACAGCAAGGAAAGAAAGAGCCAAAAGCCTTAAAACACGGAGAGAGGAAAGGTGAGCCCTACTGACAGCTTTGAAAGGCTTTCCCAGAAAAGACGAAAATAAACAATGCCTCGAGGTCTTCCCTGCGCCACCACCCACCAACCTCCACTACCGGGAAAGGACTGGCAACGCCTCTTTGCTCAAGGAGGTGCCACCCCAAAACTAGCTTTGACTGCTCGGCAACTATTTGTAAGAAGCAAACTCCTTGCCTGGAGAAAGGAGATACGGAGATGCTTCAGCTTCCCACCTCCGTGTTCTCGCGCTGTAGCCTGGACCTCGCTCCTTCCTCCTCCTTGCCCAGAAGGCAAACCCCGCGGTCTCAGCGTGTGGGCGGCCGAACACGCGCCGGGCGGCTACATCCAACTCGCTGGGTGGGCCCGTCACCTGGGGGGCAGGGGCCTGTCACCGCCTCCTCATGCCCACTTTCCTTTCCCTTCCCGGCGGCCGGGCCCAACTTCCTGTGACAGCGAAGCCCGCGGTCGCCGGCCGAAGCCGCCAGGTGCGCTCGGCTGTGCGCCCCAACCCGTGCCTGTGGGAGTTCGGGTAGCTGGATCGGGGGCCCCCTAGCCACCCCGCACTTTATTATCCTCCGCTCTCTTCGCACCACAGTCTCACACCCCCCACACTCCGGAAACTAGGTATTCCAGGTCTTCGGCGGCCTGAACCCTTCTTCCCGGCGCTACCAGGGCGAGGAATCGCTTCCGGGTTCACAGCGCCGGCGGCCGCGCGGTGGGCCCGGAATAGCTTCCGGGTCGGGGGCGGACCTGCCGCCGTTCATGCTGGCTTTCGCTGGGGCTGCGGGCAGTGTGGGGTGGGCGGAGGGCGGCTCGAGGACTGGGTGACGCCGGCCGGCGCGCTAGCGGCTGTGCGTGAGGCGGGGGAGAGGAGGAGGCTGCTCGGCTGTGTACGCGCGCCAGGCTGGAGCATGAGCCGGACTTGACCGCGAGGCGGAGGCAAGAGCCACCGCCCCCTCTTCCCCTCCCCCTAGTGAGGCGGCGCGACGGCCGGAGAGGGATGGGGGGCGCCCGCCCTGTCTGAGCCGCGCCGCGGGCGCCTCCCGCTCTCGCAGCGGTCCCCGCGGGCCTCGAGTGCGCACCCTCGGCCCCAGCAGCCTCTGCAGGGCAGGCGCGCCCGGGCCGGCGAGGGGGGACGCCCGCCCAGGTGGGTGGGGCGGGGAGGGTACCTGAGGTCACCGACTCCGCACGAGAGGCAGGGGCGGCCACGGCGGTGGCTGAACTGCGGAGCTGCGCGGTCCGCACGACCCTCACCCTCAGCCCGGGAAGTAACCGTAAGTCTCAGCTTTGCCGTGCGGATCTGATTTGAGGTTGTTGCAAATCATTTTATGCTCCGAGTTCTGTGCTGCCTGGTTCACGCCCTCCTGGTCTCCTACAAAGGTGCCATACTCGCGTGTGGAGGATTTTCCGCCTGTCGGTTCCCACCCCCGAACTGGCATCCTCCTTGGGGATTTTTTTCCCCTGGGAGAATTTGCAAGCCTCAGGGTCTTCCGTGGCGCTTCCCCTCCTCCCCTTCTGGATGCATCTCCTTATCCCTCTGTCCTCAAACGATCTGTCTGTACCCCCGAGCTCACAGCCACCCCCACCCACCCTTTGGGACGTGGAAAGCCACGGGTTTGCCCATCTCCAAGGCCAGAGAGTCTTTAGTGGATGGGTTAAAGTGTTCTGCAGGGCTGTGATGGGTGGGGATAGGTGCAGATGGCTCCGCTGAACCTTTATTTTTGCAGCTTCTGCCACCAAAACAAAAGAACGGGCCGCTCCCCTGTACCTTCATTTTTCTCCCTAACTGTGTATATTCTATTTTCTGTACGTTGCTGTTTGAATCGCAGGAAATTGGAACTAGAGCTGTAATTAAGCATCTCCTGGGGAGGTTTTGAGAATTGGTCTTATAAGCTTTATTCACGTGGAATGGCTCATTTGAACAATCTTGTATTGAAATGAAGACCGATTCCAGAAGATCTGAGAAACGAATGTGAAAACCAGAGTCGGATTTTTGAATACCTTTCGGTAATTTTTAGTGTTGTGAATTTACATTTAATTCTTAATTTACAAGATGTGTGTATGTGTGATGTGAAAATATTTGCATATTTTGTTAGTGATTTTTAAAAAGATTATATTTGATAAGATGATATTTTAAATTCTTAATTCCAGGCAGACTTTTGCTTATTTGTGTCTACCACCTATAGTGTTACACACCTTGGTCCCTGTCACCTTCCTGCGTTTTAGTTACAAGAAAAAAAAAATGAACTGTGGTTATATTTAATGTATATTTCCACATTTTGGAGTAGACTTTTTTCCCTCTTGTTAAAATTTGTTTTTTTTTAAACTGTTAACTGTAGAACTTTCCAGAAACTAAAAATCTTGATGCTGTCAGCCTGGACAATAGCTATTATGTGCCTTAATCATTTGATACTTTTTAAGGCACTATAGAAGTAAATGATCATTTAAGAATAATTTTACTCTGTATATTGCAAGGTCTATTATTATTCTGTAATCTATCTGTAAAATTGACTGGAGGTGCTTTTTTGGTGTGTGAAAAGAATTTTCATTTTGTAAAGAAAGGTGGATGTGTTTAATGATTTTTCCCCCCCAAATTTTCTGAGAACCTCTTTCCATCCATTGATTGGGGCTATTGTTGGTTAAGTCTGCTGTTCTGGAATTTTTATTTGAAGTAGGCTCAAGAGATGTAGCTCCAAATGTCTCTCTGGAAATGTACTTTATTGACTTGTTGCGGAAGTCAAGCACAGTATAGAGTTGAGTGTATTATTAAGAGTGTTTTTGCTTTTCCTGAAATTGATGATTAGTTGTAGCGAGGTGAAGGGCAATAACTTGAAAGCATCTTATTATTTTTAAAAGTTCATTGATCCCTTCTTATCCTTGTTGGGGAGTGGGGAGGGGGGGATACAGAACTATATTTTCACATTACACTTTTCCTCGTGCCCACTGCACTGGGAATTTTGAAATTTCAAAATTAAAGGGTTCGGAAACTCCACCCACATATGGGCATTTAACAGGTGGCTGCTGAGACAAGAGAGACATTTTATTAGCTATTCTTTGATACTTCTGTAACACTGCCCACTCATGAGAGAGTTGATTATTTTTTTTCTTCTTCCTTTTTGAGGGACTTGAACTTGTGAAATGAAATAGGTGTATTTACAATTTACTTGTAGGTAAAAGTTCAAGCTAATTTTCAGATATAAGTAGATGGAAGAACTATGAATTAAGATTATTGATTATCTTTGAATGGAATTAGAAAAGATCACGCAGTGCTTTTATACTTTTCTCCCATTTGAGAATGTACACATTTATTTAGATAAAACTTAACATCACTTCTCTTTAGAATTATATTTTATGTATGACACATTTGCCAAAAGGATTTGAGAATTATGTAGTCATTATTAAAAGAACCAGCTTGTGGGAAGTTTCTGTGCATGATTCTAAATAAAACATGTGTTTTGTTTACTGTCACAAAGTAACTTGCTTCAGAAATAGTAATTTTTGAGCTCTCAGTTTGTTTTTTAGACAACTTCCGACCACCTCTTTTTTTCTTTTCCAGATAACTTTAATGCATCGTTTCAGTAAATCTTTATTGAATTCTTACTGTGTTTGCAGGCACTGTGATTGATTCTGGCACTACAAGTATAAATAAGTCAAGATTTATACTTTACTTTCCTTACTGAAAATGCTAGTCTAACTCTATCCTGCAGTCATTAAAGATTTCTTCAATGGATTTTAAGTCACTTGATCTTACTGTTTCATGGTTCGCATCCTTTCCATAAGAATAAACAATAAATGCCATTCATAGAGGGCTGAATTCATACTTGCTACCACACTAAGTGCTTTATATATATTATCTCATTTAATTCTTAGAACAATCCTAACACATATTTTATCTCAATTTAAAAACCATACAAATTATGGCCTGCAGTAATGCTGAATGTTGTTTTACTTGTAACGTACTAGCAAGAAAAGGTGTGACCTTAAGTTTTCTCCGTTAAAGGGAAGAAGTTATAAATAGTTGTAACAGTTTTAAATTCTCTAATAATGCTTTGATAGGAAGAATCTAATTTCATAAGGTATTTGTATCTTTGATAAGATATCAAAATGTAATTTTCAGTTGTTGTTTAAGTCCTTGAAAAGGCATTACTTCTGAAGTTCATTATAGTTAACTGAAACATAGATCTTTAGGCATCTATAACTTTTTCATCTTTCTACTTCAGCAATGGAACCTATAGTCTACAGTATATAAAATGTACTAAAAATGTATGTCTTCTCCGGGAAGGATAGTGTGTTAAGCTATTTGAAATCTATTCATCTTTTAAAATTATTTAGTTTAAAAAAATTTTTTAGTTTAATTTTCACAACTACCTAATACCTTAGAGAGTTTTGTTCTCTGCAGTGAAAACTGTATTTTAGATTTTAAAATGATGTCATTTATCAGTAGGATATATGCTTTATTGTCAGATTTATATGATCCAATCTAATCAATCACTAGACCTCTCATTTTGAAAAAAGATGATCAACTATTTTCTCCAAAAAGCCTCATTTGTATTTTAAATATTTTACCCAAAACTGTCAAGAATTTAACATCTTCTTTGAGTCAGGGGGTTTTGCTACTAGTTCCATACTCTGTGGTCCTAGGAACTAACACACATTGATCATCTATCATTGTTAAGTCCTTCAACAGGAGTTCTACGACCATTATTGTTTCAATCAGAAAATACAGTAACAAGCAGTATCAAGGAACATTTATCTATGTCAAATTAAAATATATATGTCTATATATGTATATATTGAGGATAAAACAATACCAAGATTGCTTTTCTTAGGAACTCGTTCATAGCCATTATCATAGTTTTTTCCTGAACCTTGTGGAGCAAGCTGCAGCCTTGGTATCCCATTACCCCTAGTCTGTTTCTTAAAAAACAGTGCACTCTCTGATGTGATAGCATATAACCCTCCAAATCAGAAGATAAGCATTGGTACAACACTGTTATCTTGTAAAAAAAAATTCATATTTCACCAACTATCCCAATAATATCTCTTCTGGTCCAGGATGCTGTCGACGAATGCATGTTGCGTTTAGTTGGCATATCTTCTGAATTCATTTCCCCTGTCTTTTATGTCCTTGAAAGTTTTAGAAAGTACAGGTTCTGCATTTTGTTGGATGACCCTCAACCTAGATCAGTAACATTTCCTCACTCTAATCAGATCATACATTCCTGGCAGGAATACCACAGAAATGGGCCTGAGTCCTCAGTTACATTGCATCCTTATACAATGTTAAGCCATATCACTACTGGTGATTAGCACCTTAATCCTATTGCTCTTCTTTTATATTTGATCAGTATTAGTGGAGAGGATTTCCAAAATTTTTTTTCTCATAAAATCTCTATTGACTATTCTTAATGTGGATGTTACTTATAAAGTCCATATGAATTGACCATTTTCATGATTGCCATGTGCTGTCTATTTCTGTTACTCCTTCTACATATATTAGTTGGTATTTTATTGTAAGGTGGAACTTTCATCCTTCTCCCCCCCTCATTTATACATTTCTTAGACCATTAAGGACTCATGACTTTTTATTTTATTTAGTGTTATAATTTGTTGCTATTAATAGTTTCTTTGCTCTTTGAATTGTCCCCACTTTAGTGGGAGCCCCTTTAAGCTGGCTCCTCTGCTTATTTA